GAAAGGCAGCAATTTGTCACTGTTGGCTCATTGAAAATAGATTAAATTCATCCACACTTAGCCATTGCACAGCCCTCAGCTTTCAAGAATCTCACTCCAGGGACTGGCTAATTAAAACCAGAAGGCATAATCAACTTGACACTTGTATCCCTGGCTTCTTGAAGCTTTGCTGGGCAGCCCAGGGCTTGGCCAAGTGATCATGAGTCCAAGACTTGCTTAAGCTTGGGACTGTTGTAACTGGCTGTTCAATGAGGTTGTAGTATCAAGGATAGGGGATCCTGGGAAAGTAGGCCCTGGATACTATGACCACCCACATATCCTAGCCTGGCCTCTGAGCTAGTTTTTAGCTGTTTGTTGGGGGTTTGTTAAAAGTGTCAAATTCACTGGGTGGTGGTCGTTCATACCTTCAATCCCAACATTTCAGGAGGCAGAGGCATACAGATTTCTTGAGTTTGAGACCAGCCTGGTCTACAGAGCCAGTTCCAGTACACCAGTGCTACACAGAGAAACCTTGTCTCAAATCTCCACCCCACCCCCAAATTGTGAAGTTCAGGTGACCTGCTGGCATGATTAATGTTTTTCCAGACGTCATCAAATAGTCTTCACTGAGTGTGGTCACTTAAAAGTACTCTTTCCAGACAAGAGGTGCATGTATGTGATAGAAATAATAACAAGGCCTTACCAGGCAGGGCCATCCTGTGTAACCACAGTTCTTGAAGCACTTTTGGGCCTGACTCTGGTAGTAGGGAATGCAAAGTGGTGTTTCCCACTACCCCTAGCTCACTCCATGTGACTTTCTGCAGCTTTTCCTTGGGGTCAATGCTAAATTTAAGTACCTGGATCCTGATTGGATTCCTGCCCAAAAAGTCTACCCCTCCCTGTTATCTGTTCCAGAAGTTGTGCCAGCCACCGGATTTGGTCTTAAACTCACTTCCCCTGCCCCCCAAGACCTTTGAAGGACTCTATAAGCCTCGGTGCAGCTCTTGTAGGCAGCATAGTAATATGAATGTTACCCTGCTTTAGGGCCTAGCCCCAGGGGCAGGTGATGGAAATGGGCTAGGAAACTGTCTAGCAGCTCCTGGTCAGGTGTCTTCAAGGTAAACTGTAGATGGGTCACTTAAATGTGTTCTAAAAGCTTCCTTTAGGGGCTGGAGAGATGGCTAAGAGTACTGGCTGCTCTTTTAGAGGTTCTGAGTTCAATTCCCTGCAACCACATGGTGGCTCACAACCATCTATAATGAGATCTGGTACCCCCTTCTGGTGTGCATGCATACATGCAGCAGAAGACTGTACAACATAATAAATCTTAAAAAAAAAAAAAAAGAAAGAAAGAAAGAAAGAAAAGATCCAGGCGTTGGTGGCACTCACCTTTAATCCCAGCACTCAGGAGGCAGAGGCAGGCATATCTGTGAGTTCGAGGCCAGCCTGGTCTACAGAGAGAGAGAGCTCCAGGACAGTCTCCAAAGTGACAGAGAAACCCTGTCTTGAAAAACAAGAAAAGCTTCCTTTATTGTAGAGAATGTAGGAGCATTTTTATTTATTTATTTTTTGGTTTTTGAGACAGGGTTTCTCTGTGTAGCTTTGGAGCCTATCCTGGCACTAGCTCTGGAAACCAGGCTGGCCTCGAACTCACAGAGGTCCGCCTGCCTCTGCCTCCCAAGTGATGTGATTAAAGGTGTGTGCCACCAACACCCAGCTGTAGGAGCATTTTTAAAGCACCATGAACTTACTTAAACTGACATTTTGGTAAGATGGCTCAGTGGGTAAGGGTGCCTAGTAACCTGAGGTCTGTCCCCACGCTCCACATGATAGGAGAGACCTGACTCTGGATAGCCTTTCTGTTTCCCTAAAACGTGCAGAGCAGCCCAGGGGAAACCGCAGACTATTGGTGCTCCAGGAACTGTCTGAGGAGAGGGTGCCACAACGTTGAAGGCCCCAAAGGCAGTGGCTCTCCTGGCTTTTATCAGGGCTGGTGGGCCTGAGCAGGGAGGTAGGTAGCATCTGGGTTATCCTTTTGGGCTCATCAGGCAGTCTCCCTACTTTCAGTTGAGCCAGAGCTTGTCACTTCTGGGCCCTCAGTGGGCTGTTCCCAGTACTTTCTGTTGCTGAGGTTTGAGAAATTTGGTGGAATCTGGGTGTGGTGGTGCATGCCTTTAATCCCAGCACTCAGGAGGCAGAGACTGGTGGATCTCTATCTGACCCCAGCCTGGTCTGCAGAGCAATTGCCAGGGCTACACAGAGAAACCCTGTCTCTGTGGGGAAAAATATAGTGTGTTTTTCCAGACTTTTCTTCCTGCTGTAGCTTAGCTAGATTAAGGCTTGGTTTCCTGGCAGTGTTGTCTTTGTGATAGGACTCCAGTTTGAGAGCAAACAAACATGTTACCCTGTGCTTGGATGAGACCAAACAACTGGTTCTAAAAGCACAGATGAGAGCAGTGGTCAGCATGATAAAGGGAAAGGCCGCTGTCCTGAGTGGAGGCAGCCAGTGCTATGCCTTTGCTATCTATCCAGTCATAATGGCAGCCACTCGTGTGTTTGGGTATCATAGAAACCATGACACCCCCAAGAAGACAACACCTTCCCAATGTAGGAGAGTGGTGACCAGGAGCTGTGATGCCCCTGTTGACAAGGGTCAACCTGGAACCCTGATTTTTACAGGCTGGTCTAGGTTAGTGAACAATCGTTTATCCAAAGTTCCTTAACTCTGGTGTTCAGCTATACGCAGAACGGAATTTTACATATGTTGGACAGAAATAAAAGGATCAAGCCCCGGCCCGAAAGGTTCCAGAACTGCAAGGACCTGTTTGACCTGATTCTCACTTGTGAAGAAAGAGTCTATGACCAGGTTGTAGAAGGTGAGTGCACAGAGCTTGGTCTGCCTTTCCTTTCCGGCTGTGCCACCAACACTAGGCTGGAAGATTTATGGTCTCCAGGGAAAAGGGGAGGCAGGTTAGGCCTCAGGCCTGGGTGACAGTGATGGAGACAGGATTAACCCCCCCCCCCCCAATCCTCTGACCTGCATGGACACCTGGAGGATGGCCTGTGAGGAGTAAGCAGAGGACTGATGTCCAGCAAAAGTACCTGTATGTTTCTGTTAGCTTTGTGGCCTTCAATGTTTGCTTTTCATATTTGTTGGGCCTGGCATTTTATAGAAGGTGCTGTTGGTGCCAGCACTAACTGGCACAGTATGGACTTGAGTTGTGTATACTTTTACCTAGATTTCTTCACTTAGCATACATTTTGGGGCTGTTCCTCATATAAGTTCCTTGGGCTTGGATGTTCAGTCCTCAAGTTATAGCTCAAGAGTTCAGGGGCAGGTCTGGTAAAGCTGAGCTTGGACACATCTGTTTCTCAATGTCTAGTAATATTTGTGTCTCTCTTTTTCCAATCAGATCTGAATTCCAGAGAACAGGAGACCTGCCAGCCAGTGCATGTTGTCAATGTGGACATCCAGGACAACCATGAAGAGGCCACCCTGGGGGCATTCCTTATCTGCGACCTCTGCCAGTGTGTGAGTCTGAGCACCTTGGTCCAGCAGTCCTTACAAAGGAAGTAGCTGTGAGACTGTCTCCTGTTGGGCAAGAGGAAGTGGCTTCTCATCACTAGCAACTTATTTTCACATCCTGGTTAAATAGTAAATTTCAAGTAAAGACCAAGAAGTGCACAGTCTAGGAGACAACCAAGTGGCTTTGGCTTGAGAACCTACCCCAGTGTTTCTGTTGATGGTAGAAGAGATGTGTGACATCTCAGGTCTGACATTTCACCCTTTCCTCTGGTGTACAGCTACAAGAGCTTACCTGGCATCGTCAAAGATAGGTCTGGGGACTCCCAGAGGTAACATCCATAGTTTAGGCATATTGTTGTGTCCCTTTGCCTGGCACTTATGTAGATATTTATCCTCAAGGCCCCTGGGCAATTTTGCAGCTTCCTAAGGGCTTGTGTAGCTGCTGTGTGGAGGTGTCATACTGTTCAAGTGCTGTGGAGGGACTTTGTGGGAAGAGCCATGTACCTTGTCCTGCATTTTGCCCTTGAGAAAGATGTTTAGGTTAGCTTGCTGTGACAGAATTGATGTCCTCTTGGCTCACCAAGTAGAGGCTGATAGGGAAGTTGGTGTGGGTGATCCATATTCCTGCTAAATGCAGCACGGCTTCCACTCTGAGTATTACTGCTGGAGTTCCAGCTGGTGAGCCTGTGGCTTATGGAGAAAGGGCTGAAACCAAAGAGACAGTGTAGTCTTGCCAGGGCAGTATGGTCAGCAGCCAGCCTGCCTCACTTAAAGTGTTAAAAGGACTTCTGGCAATGCCTGGCCATCTTTTATATTTTCACAACCAGAAGCTGTTTGTGTCTGGGGGATAGAGGTCAGATGTGCTGCAGTGCACAGGCTGCCCTACCACAAAGCATGGTCAGCCTCTGTGCTGGATAGTTCTAGGAAAATGCCTGTATATTTCTATGCCTTCCTTTACTCATTGCAAGGTTGGGATGGCACTGGTCGGTGAGGCTTCTATGCACCTGCCTGAGAACAGAGCCTCGGAATCCAGGCCTTCCTTTGAATCTAGCTCTACCACTCCCAATATGGGGGCTCCAGTGGCCATGGTGTAGGTCAGGAACTGCCAGGAAGGGTTCATTGGGACAATCCTGAGGAAAGTACCCTGACTTGGCCCCACTGCAGGAGGGAAGATGCAGCCCTGGCAGGGGTGTGGAAGGCAAGTCACAATGCCTGGGCATCACTCACGGCTTTGCTTTTTTCTCAGATCCAGCACACTGAGGATATGGAGAATGAGATTGATGAGCTGCTGCAGGAGTTTGAGGAGAAGAGTGGCCGGGCCTTTCTGCACACTGTCTGCTTCTACTGAGCCACCCGTGGTTGGTGAATGGTCTGCCCTGCACAGCCACCTTTGGAGCCACTTTTTCAATCTGTTTTCCCTTCTGATGTTTGTTTATACTGCTAGGTGTACGTCACCAATGTACTGTACATATGGAATGAGAAGTACACAGAAATGCCAGGTTGAAATCCATTGTTTTTAACCAAAAGAAATAAAGACGGTTTAACTGTACAGCCTACAGCAAATGTGTGTTGTTGGCCTGCCTAACCAAAACAGGCTGCTTTATGGGGCTGGGGGCTTGGAATCACCACAAAACAGGTGCTGCCAGAGGCCTTTGATTTGTCATGAACTCCTGCAGGGGAAGAGGCTACCCAGGGTCCTTAAGTCCAGCCCTGTCACATACCAGAGCTAGGGCCAGTACCCTGATCTGATACAACTGATCCTCTCCAGTTGGAACCTTTAGACACAGTGCACAGTGAGGTTTGTACTTGGGGCTGCAGGTCAGCTGTTCTCTTAGGCGTTTGTCACACAGGGCAGGGTTGGTTCTTATGTAGTCAGCTCTGTGGACAGAACAAGCAAGGGCTTGGAACTCATCTTGGTTCCCAGGATCAGAGGCAGCCCCAACAGGACCATAGACACAGAGCTGCTAGCTTCAGGCTACTGTCCAGCACCTCTTCCTTCCCAGAAGCCTTCTAGCCTTCCCTACCTCTGCCAGGATACAGCATCCTTGTTTGGCCCACTCAAGTATTTCTCGCCCTCCTACCTCTAGTCATGTAGTCACAGTCCCTGGCTCCTCTGACCTTGTAGGCCCCTCCCCCATGGCATTTTCTTGCTGGAGGAGGCTGGGTGCTGACCTTCCTGCCCCTCTCAGGAACCAGGGGACCCAGAAGGAGGGTCCTCATTTGCAGAAGTAGAGAACGACCGCCCGGTCCAGGCCAAAAAGAGTTCAGCGTGGTCCTGGGCAAGGAGATCAGAGCCAAGACTGATGAGATGGGGCAGAATGTAGATCCGAGACCGGAGGGGAGGGGTCTCGGCCTGCGTCATAGGGAGAGGAGTGGAGAACCTCGACCCTGTATGCTGGCACGGGGCGGCGAAATCCCTCCCCAAAGGCGGAGGCAGCAGGAGGAGGGAGGAGATAGTGAGGAAGAAAAGGAGGGAGGGAGAAGCCTGGAGGAGGGAAGGGGGAGGAGGGAGGGGGCCGCCGAGGGGGCCCCAGGGAGCCGGGTGCAGGGAGCAC